CCCCCACCCTGCTGCCAGTGCCCATCAGGCCTCTCTCTTTTTTTCTTTTTTGCTCAATCCCTCCGCTCTCCTAGTCCCTCTGCGGCCCCCCTTCTACCAGGGCTGTCTGCCTGCTCTTTGGGTCTGTCTCTTTTTTGCTCAGTAGTTCAGTTTGTTCATTAAATTCTGCGTGAGTGAAATTATATGTTATCTTTCTCTCTCTGACTGGCTTATTTCACTTAGCATAACGCTCTTCAGGTTCATCCATGCTGTCGCAAAGGGTAAAACTGTCTTCCTTTTTATGGCAGAGTGGAATTCCACAGCTTTTTACCCACTCATCTCCTGACGGGCACTTGGGCTGCTTCCAGATCTTGGCTGTTGTAAATAATGCTGCGTAATTTTTGGCCCCTCTTCCTGGGGTGCTCTTTACCTAGTTTGTTACATGGCTGGTACCTTCTTTTCCTGAAGATCTAAGCTTAAATGCCAGCTTCTCCGAGACCGTTGGCTACACTAAGATTTCCTCCTACTTTGTTTCAGGTCTAATACTTAACTCAGTTTGGGATCACTTTTTCTTATTTATTTACAAGATATGGTAGAAAGCTCTGTGAGGGCAGGAACCTAATCTCTGTCAAGTATTTCATAGATGCTCTGTAGACATATTTTGAATGAAAAAGAAAGTTTGGGAGAGTAAATGGTCTTGCCCTATTTATCACACAAATGGTAATTATTGAACAAAGATATAGAAGGAATGTATGTCAAAAATGGTGGGCAGCACACTACTCAGAAGCAACCAGTCACATTAAGTTTTATAAGGGTGAATGCAAACCCCTGTGTTTTTGTTTAAAAAAAGAAATCCGTTTCACTGTAGGGAATGCGGGGACTCTGGCTTGATACCAATTCATATGTCAAGTCTGAGGAGGCAGAAGTGATGGCTGAAAAGGCAATTTCGCTGTAAACCGCACCAGTAAATCCACATATTTCCATATTAGAGAGGCTCATCTTACAGGCCTCTCCTCCAGTGACATCAGTAAACTATTACAACTCTCTAAATGTCAGTGGGATGCCTCACTCATTCAATCACTCACTCACTCATTGAAAATGTAGTGAGTACATTCTGGACACTGGTATTAGAGCTGTGAACAAAATTGTTGTGGCTCCTGTGTTCATAGATCTTAGTGTCCAACTCCCAATGAGAAGTAACTTTCTCTTTCACTGACAGTGTGGAAGCAGAAACCAGTCTGTCACTTGTTGAGAGACCATGCAATCTAGTGGTTAAGAGCTCATGCTCTGCCCCTGGCCAGCGTGGCACCTGCCTGGGTTGTGGGCTCAATCCCCAGTAGGGGCCCTGCAGGAGGCAGCCGATTGAAGTCTTGATCTCACATGGATGTTTCTCTCCCTCACCCTCTCCCTCCCTCTTTCTCGAAAAAAAAATCAATAAAAAATCTAAAATAAAAAAATAAAAAAACCCCTCATGCTCTGGAGGCTTAGAATAGTATATGGCACATAGTAAGCTCTCAATATGTGGGTGACAAGCAGTTAATGAAATTGTTTGCTGGAGGGCCAAAGGCTGGAAGACAGATTGAGGGTGGGGAGAAATGGCCATAGAGGGAGCTTGAGGGGTCAAAGCCCAAGTTATTAAATCATTTTGTTTCTTTATTAAAGATCCTTAATTGAGCTTGGACTTGAAAGTTGCAGCTGTGGAGTTGGTGATGTTTGTTTAACTTAGTCTTCTGATTTAGGCTAGAGAGACATGAACCCTCTTTAGAAATACCACTGGACAGTTTTTAATTTTTTTATTTTACCCCTAATGCTTACAAAGAAACTTACTTTTGGGACTATTAAAATCAACACTATCCATAAACACTCCTTTTTGCTCCGGTTTTGTTTCAGTGGCAGCTGAAGTACCCGAAACTGATCCTCCGCGAAGCGGGCGGCGTCCCTGAGGGGCTGCACCGGGAGGTGCGGGAGGCCTTCGCAGCGCTCCGCAAGCACGGCTGCCTGTTCCGGGACCTGGTGCGCATCCAAGGCAAAGACCTGCTCACCCCGGTCTCGCGCATCCTCGTCGGCGACCCCGGCTGCACCTACAAGTACCTGAACACCCGGCTCTTCACGGTGCCCTGGCCAGTGAAGGGCTCCAGCGTCAAATACCACGAGGCGGAGATCGCCGCTGCTTGTCAGGCCCTCCTCAGGCTCAACCGCTACCTGCAGGCCGAGACCATCCAGGCGTGGGAGGAGCTCGTGGCCCGAGAAAGGGCCAACATCGACGACGTGCCCGTGTGCATTGGCCCCGACTTCCCCGGGGTGGGTATGGGGGCTTTCGACGGACCCGATGAGGTGGACATTAGGAGCAGAGCTGCGTACAACGTGACCTTGCTGAATTTCATGGATCCCCGGAAAATGCCGTACCTGAAAGAGGAGCCTTACTTTGGCATGGGCAAGATGGCAGTGAGCTGGCACCACGACGAAAACCTGGTGGACAGGTCGGCGGTGGCCGTGTACAGTCACAGCTGTGAAGGTACAGCCCGCTCGGGCAGCCGCCCTGGCGCGTGGCTGGGGCTCCGGACCTGCACGGGAGCGTGCGCGCGTTCCTGTGTCCGCGTGTGGTCACGGGGGGTGCCCACAGCCTCATGTCTGTAGAGTACCCCACTTCTCACCCAGCAGGGCTGCCTGGTTCATTGTCATGCTGTGTACAGGAGTCGTTGTCGCCTGTAAGCAGGACTGTCATTTGTCCCTCCCGTGCCCCGGAGAGTCAAGAGCGTTTGTCTAAAGCGTGGAGTAGGTTGAACAGTCGATCTAATTAACTTGCTGATAAAGGGCTGGGAAAACAAAAATCTGTCAAATCTTTGCAGGTTCCCCCAGGTGCACTTTCCCCGTCTTGCCAAAATGTTTTATTACGGTTGGCATCACTGTCTCGACGGGAGTGATTTGTCAAATATGGACGTGTTCTTGGCTTCCTCCCCTTCTGACTACTGCCCTTCCTTGCCACAAGCCGCAGAGGTGGGCTCTGTAAGCAGACTGTCCTCTCTGTTCGGGAAACTCTCCAGCCCCCCGAGCCGTCCTGTGGGTTTTAGACCCAATAGGGTGAGTGTGGCCAGCTTGGTCTCCCGCTTGCTCAATCTGGTTCCCTCGGAGCACAGATCAGAGGCTATGTTTTTTTGTGGCTCACCCCAATTTTCCTTCTGCTGTTCGGTTTCTGTGTGTTTGGGGTCTCTATTGGGTTTCAGAGCAGGACTATTAAAAAGGTAGTTGAATCTATTGACACAGCCTGACCACTGCCAACTTTCTTTTCTGCCTGATCGTTTGACAAAGGATTACAAGGCCTAGGTTTAGCTTGCTTGTCCATTTATCTCTTCTACTTGTGTGTTGAAAGGTGCTTAGAAAACCAGAGTTCTAGACATCCTATGGGGGAATGAACAGGAACTTTTAAGGGTTACTGTTTTCTGACAACTGGTTTTTTAATTGGATCTGGTGGGTGTTAGTTTTTCTTTGTTACCAAAATGACTGTTTTGGAAAAAGCGATCTGAACAAGAAATTCTCATGGTTTTCTTTAAATTTCTTACCATTTCTCAGTCTCAGAATGTTCCTCAGGATAGCTACAATATTTTCTAACTTTACCTGATGCCTTCAGTCCGAAGCAAGGAACCAGATCAGTGGTTGGAAATTTCACCAGTTTCCTTGGCGTCTCAAATAATGATGCTGGCCCAAGAATATTGCTTCCAGGGGATTTGATGCTGTCCTAATGGAAAGAGCTGAGATCCTGTGATCTTTGAAAGGCCTTGCCAGGGGTGTAGGAACTATCGTATCCAAGAGCTCTGATGTGAACCAACATTGGAGTTTGTTAGTTTCTTTACTAAGGAGGAGGCAGCGCTCTGAAGCTGAGGCACTGGTGTGTGGCGGCTGGGTCCGCCACAAAGGTGTCTTTGTGCTTCAGGTCCTCTCAGCCCCACAGCTTAATAGTCCCATTGTCCTCCCAGAGTGTGGGTGACTGCGTAGGTTTTGAAATCTAGAATATCTCTCAGAAAGGAATTTAAATTTTTTAATGAATAGTTTCTGTGGTCGGGAGTAGATAAGACTGATAAAATGCACAAATACACATAAATATATAAAGGTTTATCCTTCAGTTATCACCTGGAGGAGGGAACTGCAGAATTGGAATCTGTAACCCCCGAGATTCCCAAAAGTCTATCTAATAATAATAGTAAGACTGGGAGCTTTTCTTTATTGAGCACCTACTATCAGCCACTAGTATAAGCATTTTACATGTATTAACTCATTCAGCTTTTACAACAACCCCATGAACGAAGTACTACTGTTATTCCCATTTTACAGACAGGGAAACTGAGGCACAGAAGGATAATTTGCTTTACCACAGCTATAGAGCTGTGAATTAGTAGAGCTAGGATTTGAACCTAGGCATTTGGCTTCAGAGTCCTAACACTCTGGCTGAATGCCTAATGAGCCGGTATTTCCTGTCCCTGCAGTATAGATATCTCTGGGATTTGGATTTTTTTAAATGTCCACCTCTGGACAGGTTAAGGGATTGTTCTACTTGCTCTTCCTTGTGCGTCCCAACACCCTCTCTTCTCTCCCCCCGTAGCGTCTGCTGGATCTTTCTACACAGACCCTTGGGTGATTAGAATGCATTCGCTCTCTGCAATGGAACCTTTCTCGAGGCCTCTAGCTACATGCGTGATGTTGGGTCAGATGGTTTACAATGCCTGTGCCTTGAAATTTTTTGGTGGCACATTTTTTCCAAGTGACTCCTTCCAGGTGGCAAGTGATATGCTTATTTCTCTGCCTCCTTAGAATCCTGCCAGAGGTGTGTTAAGGTGGACTTGAAGAGAGCCACTTGGGTTAAAATCAAGTTTGGGGTTGGGAAGGGCTTAAAAAGGGCAGAGAGTGGACATTTCAGACAACTGGACTGTTTTCTGTGTCCTTGAACTTGTTTGCTGAGCATTTGCTAGGGGAGGTTCTGTTCTAGGCAGTGTGGAGAACTCAAAGGTCAACCAAATGCCCTTCTTGCCTTGAGAGGGTAGGTGAGTTAAGGCGCACTCTTGTGATTGTAACGATGAAACGGTGAAACATCTGGTCTGGAAGGGCCTTTGAAGTCACCCAGCTCAAGCCTCTCATTTCACATATGAAAGCATGGAGGTGGGGAGAATGGAAGTGGCTTGTCCAAGGTCACGTAGTTACTTAGTGATGAGAGAGCATCATGTGCAGCAGGAAAGATTCCTGTAAAATGCACTGGGAGTTTGGAAAAGAAGCGATCACTTCCTGCTGAAATTAAATTCAGTGAGGCTTAAGGTCTTTCTGGACTTTGCTCTCAATACCTTTCCCCAGTGAAATCTTCATGTAGGTTTATGGTGAGCCAGTCATCCCTCCGGTTTATTTCCGTGAATAGGGGTCATTGAGAAGTAATTTGTCTAGGATATGTGTAATTATACACTAAATTCATTGGCTTCCCAAGCAGTCCTAGTTAATGCATCTCTCCAGCAGGAAGATTGAAATGGTACAATTTTTAATCAGGAATGGCTTTGGGGAACCACGCATAAATGGGCAGAGAGTTTGATTTTCCTATTCCAGCTTTGCTGGCAATTGCTAGTTACTCCAGGACACACATATGTGTAAAATAAACAAATTTCACCAGGGAAGGAATTAAAAATCATTGTTTAATATGTCCCTACACCTTCTTCTTAGGCTGGAACACCTTCAGAAAGATCACTTAAACAAAATAACTCTTGGTTACCATTTTTGTTTACTTGGAAGGACACATTTTCTGTGACATTGTCTTTATAGGAAAACCAGCTCCTAAGATATTTAATTGCCAAAGATTGCCAAAATATTGAGATTTTTTATATTATTTTCTCAGTCTCCCATGAAGGGCTTCGTGACAGGCTAGAAAGTGGAGACTTTGCCAGGATTTTCTTTTTAACTCTCAGATCCCCATTCATGGCTTTCACTTGGGGAAAGCTGAATCCACTTAAGGGTGAAAATTAGTTCCCATAATTGTTAATCTTTATGTTTCTTAGCGCATCTTTGAGACCCTGGAAAGCTACGTTGTAATTGCAGCTTAGGAGCTGGGAGCATTCACCATTTTAAAAAATGCTCTGGTATTTTATGTTTTTCTCAGCCTCTCAGCATTCCTGTCCAAGGTTTCAATGCTCGCTCACCTTGTTTCACTGTGAAGTCGCTTAGCCTCTCTGCTCAGCAAAGCTTGTTTGGTCTTATAAGTTAAGCATTTTTTTACCCCCGTGCAGTGATTTATCTGGTGAACAGGAAGCATCTACTATTTAACAATGAACCAGAATCCCTGCCCCTGTAGAGCTTATGTTTTAGCAAGGAGAGACAGAAACTAAACAAACCCGTGGGCTGTGTGACAAGGTGGGGCACAGGCCTGCGGTTAAGGAAAGCCAGGCTCCCTTTATAAGGAGGCATCCGAGCAAAGGCTGGAAGCAGAGCGTGAGCGCAGGAAGAGGCGGCAGGCTGTCCTACGAGCAGGGACGCCGCTGGGGGGACACGATGTTGGCAAGTTTCAGAAGCAGCAAGTGCGGACGGAACAGGTCAGAGAAGAGAGAAAGTAGCAGGAGCGAGGCCAGGCAAGGCTAGGGGTGGGGTGGGCGGAATTTAGGGCCCTGTGGTGTTGTGTGCAAACTGGAGGGAGACATGCGTGACTGGTCCTGTTGTGTGACATGCGTGGCTGGTCCTGGAGGGAGACGGGAGCCCGCAGTTGTGACAGAAGGGAGGCACCCGGGAGCAGGAGAGCTGACGCTGTCGCAGCCATCCAGGCTAGAAGGGTCATGCGCTGGAACAGAGTGGCGGTGCTCAGTGCCGGTGACAAAGGAAGACCTGACATCTCCCATTTGTCAAAGCTGGCCACCAAGAGTGGCCGATGGCCCCCCTCCCTCAATAGCTTTCTTGAGATATAATTTACATACAGTAAACTGCACATGTATTAAGTTTACAATTTCGTAAGTTTTAACACACCTGAGAAACCACCGCCACCATCAGGATAATGAACCATATATACCCATTTCCTCCAGAAGTATGAGGTTTGTTAAGAAAAAACAGCAGTCCTCTGTGCCTTTTCTCCATTTCTACTCTCCTCTTTCAGGCAGTGCTTTCAAAAGAAAGCATTATACTTACCTTGTTTGGGGCACTGTTCGTAGGCTCCCTGCTGTGGAAAGTGAGGGTGGACTTAGGCCCCTGTCCCTCCCTGTCCGCCTGCACGTGTACGCCCTTCAGGGTCCCCATCGCCCCGTGACAGGCGGGCTGTAACTGTGGTTATGTCGGCTTTCGGTCTTCATCGTTACCATGTCCGTGAAAGTGCCACCCTGAGCCTTGTCGTAACCGTTGACCAGCTTCCTTTCCTTGACCGCGTTTTGGTTTTTGACAGTGGTCTCTGCTGATGGTGGCCTTGCGTTTTGCTGGTTGAGTGGTCTTCAGTGCCGTCATCGCCAGCGATGTCCCGTGCTGTCTCCTCTCAAGAGCTTCAGGAGCATCAGATGTTCATTTTCT